CGTGGTTGTTTAATATATTTATAGATGGGGTTGTAAGAGAAGTAAATGCGAGGGTCTTGGCAAGAGGCGTGGAGTTAAAAGATAAAGAATCACACACAAAGTGGGAGTTGTCACAGCTGCTCTTTGCTGATGACACTGCTCTTGGGAGATTCTGAAGAGAAGTTGCAGAGATTGGTGGATGAATTTGGTAGGGTGTGCAAAAGAAGAAAATTAAAGGTGAATACAGGAAAGAGTAAGGTTATGAGGATAACAAAAAGATTAGGTGATGAAAGATTGAATATCAGATTGGAGGGAGAGAGTATGGAGGAGGTGAATGTATTCAGATATTTGGGAGTGGACATGTCAGCGGATGGGTCTATGAAAGATGAGGTGACTCATAGAACTGATGAGGGGAAAAGAGTGAGTGGTGCACTTAGGAGTCTGTGGAGACAAAGAACTTTGTCCTTGGAGGCAAAGAGGGGAATGTATGAGAGTATAGTTTTACCAACGCTCTTATATGGATGTGAAGCATGGGTGATGAATGTTGCAGCGAGGAGAAGGCTGGAGGCAGTGGAGATGTCATGTCTGAGGGCAATGTGTGGTGTGAATATAATGCAGAGAATTCGTAGTTTGGAAGTTAGGAGGAGGTGCGGGGTTACCAAAACTGTTGTCCAGAGGGCTGAGGAAGGGTTGTTGAGGTGGTTCGGACATGTAGAGAGAATGGAGCGAAACAGAATGACTTCAAGAGTGTATCAGTCTGTAGTGGAAGGAAGGCGGGGTAGGGGTCGGCCTAGGAAAGGTTGGAGAGAGGGGGTAAAGGTTTTGTGTGCGAGGGGCTTGGACTTCCAGCAGGCATGTGTGAGTGTGTTTGATAGGAGTGAATGGAGACAAATGGTTTTTAATACTTGACGTGCTGTTGGAGTGTGAGCAAAGTAACATTTATGAAGGGGTTCAGGGAAACCGGCAGGCCGGACTTGAGTCCTGGAGATGGGAAGTACAGTGCCTGCACTCTGAAGGAGAGGTGTTAATGTTGCAGTTTAAAAACTGTAGTGTAAAGCACCCTTCTGGCAAGACAGTGATGGAGTGAATGATGGTGAAAGTTTTTCTTTTTCGGGCCACCCTGCCTTGGTGGGAATTGGCCAGTGTGATAATAAAAAAAAAAAAAAATAATAATAATGTTCACTTGGCCTAACTTTAAAATGAAACCATGTACATGTATTAGAAAGCATTTTCACAAACCCAATCATATTTGAAATCCATTCAGTTCCTCCACTCTCTACCGAACCACTTTTTCTGAGCGTCATAATAATACCGAGCCTTTGTCATCAAAATTTATTGACAACTGCACACCCATTTTATTATTAGCTTATCATTTTTCAATCATTACTACTTTTTTAAATGGTAATTTTTTTTCTCCTGCTAGCTTTTCACCTTTGCTATCAATAAATAAACTTCCACTCACTGCAGAAATCTCTAAGAGATTCAGATACTGGATTTAAGTAAAAATTTCATTAAAATTAAAGTTTATGCAAAAGCAAATATCTTAAATCAAATTAACTATTCCATAACTCATTAAAAATACTATCAAACTTCACCAAAACTACCAAATAGTTTAGTACCCTCTAGTATGTCTAGAACAAAACTGCAACTTAGAAAAGCCCATGCATATTTTAAATGAAAAGATGCTCTACCCTTGTCGTGGAACTACAAAAACATGAAGGGAAGGCTACACACGTAAAAAAAAAAAAAAAAAAAAAAAAAAAAAAAAAAAAAAAAAAAAAAAAAAAAAAATGAAGTTGAATCCCACTGCTGTGATCAACTGTGCTGTCTAAATCGTAACAAAAACTGCTGTTGGAAAAGCAAGCACACTCCACTTACCTTAAGACACTCATTTAAGACTATGTAATTCACATATACATACCGACAGTGCAAATTACTGTAATAATCATGTAGAGTATTGTCTTAATAGTAGCAACAGATTTGCTACTTTTTGGATGGATTTGCTAATTAAAGTTTACACAGTTTCCACAAGAACAGTGTACATCATAGTTCTTTTATCTGTCTGTCTGGCTGTCTACACAATGTACTGAAACAGTCTACAAATGCTTAAGCTCGCCACATGCAAACTTAACTGGGCAATTATACAGTGGTACCCCAAGTTTCATACAGCTCCCAACTCGAAGAATTATGTAAGTGTATTATTGTAAATGCTTTTGTAAGTGTATTTTTGGGGGTCTGAAATGGACTAATTTAATTTACATTATTCCTTATGGGAACAAATTCGTTCGGTAATGGCACTCAAACAGCCTTCTGGAACGAATTATGGCCGAAACCCAGGGTACCACTGTAGATAGATTACATGTGCAGTGAATAGGAAAGAGTAAGGTGATGAGGATAACAAAAAAATTAGGTGGCAAAAGATTGGATATTAGACTGGAGGGAGAGAGAATGGAGGAGGTGAATGTATTCAGATATTTAGGAGTGGACGTGTCAGCAGATGGGTCTATTAAAGATGAGGTGAATCATAGAATTGACAAGGGAAAAAGGGTGAGTGGTGCACTTAGGAGTCTGTGGAGACGAATAAATAACAAAAAGGCACAATACCGTGACTGGAACAATACACAAATAACCCGCACATAAAAGAGAGAAGCTTACGACGACGTTTCGGTCCAACTTGGACCATTGACAAAGTCACAGTCAAAGTGTGACTTTGTCAATGGTCCAAGTCGGACCGAGACGAAGAACTTTGTACATGGAAGCAAAGAGGGGAATGTATGAGAGTATAGTTATACCAACACACTTATATTGGTGTGAAACATGGGTGGTGAATACTGCAACAAGGAGAAGGCTGGAGGCAGTGGAGATGTCATGTCTGAGGGCAATGTTTGGTGTGAATATAACGCAGAGAATTCGTAGTTTGAAAATTAGGAGGTGCGGGATTACCAAAACTATTATCCAGAGGGCTGAGGAAGGGTTGTTGAGGTGGTTCGGACATGTAGAGAGCATGAAACAAAATAGCATGACTTCAAGAGTGTATAAATCTGTAGTGGAGGGTAGGTGGGGTAGGGGTCAGCCTAGGAAAGGTTGGAGGGAAGGTGGGGTAGGGGTTGGCCTAGGAAAGGTTGGAGGGAGGGGATAAAAGAGGCTGTGTGTGCGAGGGGTTCGAACTCCCAGCAATAATGCACGAGCGTATCTGATAGGAGTGAATGGAGACAAATGGTTTTTTAGGACTTGATGTGCTGTTGGAATGTGAGCAAGGTAACATTTATGAAGGGATTCAGGGAAACCGACAGGCTGGACTTGAGTCCTGGAGATGGGAATACAGTGTCTGCACTCTGAAGGAGGGCTGTTAATGTTACAGTTTTATAACTGTAGTGTAAGCATGCCTCTGGCATGCTTACACTACAGGCAGGCCACCAAGGCAGGCCACCCTGCCTTGGTGGGAAATGGTCAATGTGTTAATAAAGAAAATAATGTGCAGCTGTACATGAAAGTATAGAAGTGTGTATATACATGTATAGAAGAATCTACACATATATGTTAAAAGTGTATACACACATGCATATGTAAATTCACACACTGCAAAAAACAGACATGCATACCCTTCAGTACAGTATACAGTACAGTAGTAACAACTGTCATTCAGATTGTGTGCCTGGAGGTATACCTGGAGGATGTTCCGGGGCTCAATACCCCCGCAGCCCAGTCCATGACCAGGCCTCACGCCAGAATTATAGAAATTTTGAGTCTAGATACAACTACAATTAACAAAATCTAATCATGGGTTACCCATCAGTAAAAATGTTGGATAAACAAATCCCACAAATAAGAAGCACCGTGAATTTTGGGGGTCGACTGTAATGATCTGGCCACACACCCATAGGGACAGCAATTTGAGGCCAAGGCAAACCCTTCCTCGTGTGTCTTGAAATGTGAGAACTTACGACTCACAAAATCAGAATAACACGATGCAAAAATGGGTTCAAACCCCACCTGTTCTGTGGTATGTGAGAATTTATTTGCAATTATAAAGTCAAATGAAGACAAACTTTCATGCACCCAAGTTGGTACGTACTATATCAGCAACACTATCAAAACTCTCAGACTAAACTATCCAAACGTAATTGTTCAGAAGAACAAAATGGCACAATACCGTGACTGGAACAATACACAAATAACCCGCACATAGAAGAGAGGAGCTTACGACGAAATTTCGGTCCAACTTGGACCATTTACAAAGTGATTTTGTAAATGGTCCAAGTCAGACCAAAACGTTGTCATAAGCTTCTCTCTCCTATGTGCGGGTTATTTGTGTAATTATTTTAGTGTGAGTGGTGGTAGTAATACTGTAGGTCAATTCAGGACTATTGGGATGGGAAGTTCAAGATCTGTAGGATTCATTACTCCAGTTATTAAATTCAAGATAGTCTGTGAATACATACATCTAAATAACAACTCTAAACACACCTGGGCATACTACACTTAGCACACACTACCAGGATTCTGGTGTTCAATCTCAACCCACTGAGTTGCAATTATTAAATAACGGATAAAATTATGAATTAATACAGACTCATTTTAATTATGGTTCACATAAAGCTGGAGACAAAAGATTAATCTTGTCAATACTTCACATAACCAATTTGTTAGTCTAGGTGGATATTGTCATAGTTGTTGCATAACAGTTTCAATACACTAAGCCCTTACCTTCAACTGAAGCTTGTCAATTGTGCAATTACAGAATATTCAAACAAGGGCATCTGCTGGGAAAAACAGGGAGAGGCAGTTACCTGGATCAGGTAAGTGTCAAGAGAAAGCTATCATATCGACAATATTTGAGCTTACTTTTCCTCTGCTCACTCAGGGGAATTTCCAACAGATGCCCTTGTTTCCAAACCAGGCACAACTTTTTTTTTTTTTTCAAAAACTCCCAAGACACTCTGCCATATGTATTGAGAAGAAAAGAAAAAAAAATCTTTGAAACAATTTTGACAAAGCAGCAGCCTCAGCACACTAGTTACCCAATATGCATGAGATGGTGAAGCGACGTGTCCATCAGCAGATTTATTCGCTCATCGTCGTCAAAATAAACTTCTTGGTCGTAAGGAAGGTTTGGGGGGTACAGAGCCTGTGGTAGTGGTGGTTTTGGATGTCAGTGCTTGGGTGAAAAAACACCACAGGATTTTGACAAAATTCCAGATAGTTACTAGTTGTGCAATTATTACAGGCAGTAAACTTTAAAACATCTGGAATAGCAATGGCTTAGTCTTACAAGGAAAAAGGTTTAGTGCTAAATGTTAAAGAAAAATCCTAAAAGAAAAAAAAAAAATCTGCTTTACAGTACTAAATAGTTGGTACCGTGAAACATTCAAGAACAAATTTAGCAAAACATTTGCATGCTAAGGAGCAAGGGGCTAGTAACCCCTTCTCCTGTGTAACTTACTAAATTTTAAAAGAAAAACTTTTGTTTTTCATTTTAGGTCACCCTGCTTTGGTGGGATACGGCTAGTTCATTGAAAAAAAAAAATATGCATGCTAAGTATGTACAAGAAAACTATCAACATCAAAACAAATATTAACAGTGTTAGAAAATCTACATTAATAAGCCTTTGTTGCTGATTATTATAACATAAAACATTAAAATAAAGCTCAACATCTATAGAGGAATATTTTCAACCTTCTAGCAGATTAAACCTCCTATGAGTTGACACCCAGTTAAATATCCTTCAAACTATAAAGTATGAACCAAACTTTTTTTTATTTTTATACACTTCTATATGCTCTAACTTAAGATGATGAAAGCCAAAACTCAGGTTAAAAGTATTTTCCCAAAATGAGTCTCTTAAATTTACCCAGCATCTTGGAGGCCAAAGTGCCATTTATCTTTTTTCCAAAATTTAGCCAGTCAGAACTGGGGGAAATCCTCAACACCAGCGCATCTTGTTCGTCATAAAATACGGTATGTAAGAAATGGCAAGATTTTTAATACTGTAATACATTAAATATACAGTATATTAAATTATAATTTGCAAATTATTCATTTGAACCTTAAAAATTTTAATTTAGATGTTGCCAAATCTATCTCTGACTTGATAAAGCCCACTGTGTGGGTGATATGTTGTCAATAATGGTCTTTGTGTCTATCCAAGCTAATGTCTTTGTCAACCCATTATACTAAAGAAAATGATATAAAGTGGAGGGAAGGCAGCATAGGGATCATCCTAGGAAAGGATGGGAGGGAGGGGGTTAAGAAAGCTGTGTGCACAAAGGGCTTGGACATACAGCAGGCATGTGCGAGCGTGCACGATAGGAATGGAGACAAGTGATTTTTGGGGCTTGACGAGCTGTTGGAATATTAGCAGGGTAATATTTTGTGAACAGATTCAGGGGAACCAGTTAGCAGGCCTTGAGTCCTGGAGATGGGAGGTACAGTGCCTGTACTCTAAAGCAGGGTTTGGGAGATTTGCTGTTTTGAGGGATATCTAAACTGTCGTATGTGCACCTCTGGCAAGACAGTGTGAATAATGGTGAAAGTGTTTACAGGTCTCCCTTCACATTCGTGAAGGTTAGGGGATCAAGAACCTAGCGAATGTTGAAAAATCGCGAATGGTTGGTGCACAAATATATTGTAGGGAAATATAATAATAGCAGTTACTTAGTCTAACAATACTGCTTCCTTAACCTATCAAACCATGAACAATCATACAACACATGAAAACATTGTAAAATATTGTACTTGTGCCAGCCCTTTGGTAAAGAAGGTGAAAAAGACTATAGAATTCAAGAAAACTCATAACAGAGTACCAAAGTGGAGGAGGAAGAGAGGGGAGAATGAGCCTTCCTCAGTGATTCAGTGATTCTACAATATGTACGATACTAAAGCAGCACGAGTCGATAAAGGCTATAGTGCCAGCCAGCAATAAAGTGTAGCATTAACAGTGTAGCATGTAAGTTAAGCGATTAATCGATACAAAAAGGACAGCATGAACCTAACTCACCCAATGTTGTTGGAGTTATATAGGGTGACTGACAACACCGCCGTCTCGACCGCTTCTGCTGCCGCCTTCACTACCACTATGTAAGGCTTATGCTCTCAGTGGCCTTGATACACCCAACAACAACAACGCAACACTCGTGACATACTTTATGACATATTTTATTCATTCTAGAGTATGTGTCATGTTTCTATGTTATTAATATTGTTTATTATGTCTTATTAGATGAATTGTGATAGATAAATAAGCCAATGAGTTGATATTAGTGTCACATTGAAGGACTATTTTGTCCTATCTCCAAACAAACCCTGCCACCACCACAATTCCTAACATATGTAATGCTAGGGTGTTCGGGAGAGGGTGGGATTAAATTATAGGGAATCAAATACAAAATGGGAATTGATGCAGTTACTTTTTGCTGATGATACTGTGCTTATGGGAGATTCTAATGAAAAACTGCAAAGGTTAATGGATGAGTTTGGGAGTGTGTGTAAAGGTAGAAAGTTAAAAGTGAACATAGAAAAGAGTAAGGTGATGAGGGTATCAAATGATTTAAAGAAAAATTGGATATCATATTGGAGAGGAGGAATATGGAAGAAGTGAATGTTTTCAGATATTTGGGAGTTGACATGTCAGCAGATGGATTTATGAAGGATGAGGTTAATCACAGAATTGATGAAGGAAAAAAGGCGAGCAGTGCGTTGAGGTATATGTGGAGACAAAGAACGTTATCTATGGAGGCAAAGAAGGGAATGTATGAAAGTATAGTGGTACCAACACTTATATGGGTGTGAAGCTTGGGTGGTAAATGCAGCAGCAAGGAGACAGTTGGAGGCAGTGGAGATGTCCTGTCTAAGAGCAATGTGTGGTGTAAATATTATGCAGAAAATTCAGAGTGTGGAAATTAGGAGAAGGTGCGGAGTTAATAAAAGTATTAGTCAGAGGGCTGAAGAGGGGTTGTTTAGGTGATTTGGTCAGTTAGAGAGAATGGATCAAAGTAGAATAACATGGAAAGCGTATAAATCTATAGGGAAAGGAAGGCGGGGTAGGGGTCATCCTCGAAAAGGTTAGAGGGAGGGGGTAAAGGAGGCTTTGTGGGCGAGGGGCTTGGATTTCCAGCAAGCATGCATGAGCGTGTTAGATAGGAGTGAATGGAGACGAATGGTACTTGGGACCTGACGATCTGTTGGAGTGTGAGCAGGGTAATATTTAGCGAAGGGATTCAGGGAAACCAGTTATTTTTATATAGTCGGACTTGAGTCCTGGAAATGGGAAGTACAATGCATGCACTTTAAAAGAGGGGTTTGGGATAATGGCAGTTTGGAGGGATATGTTGTGTATCTTTATATGTATATGCTTCTAAACTGTTGTATTCTGAGCACCTCTGCAAAAACAGTGATTATGTGTGAGTGTGGTGAAAGTGTTGAATGATGATGAAAGTATTTTCTTTTTGGGGATTTTTTCTTTCTTTTTGGGTCACCCTGCCTCGGTGGGAGACGGCCGACTTGTTAAAAAAAAAAAAAAATGTAATGACATATTTTAAATATGATTGGGCAGCTGGGCATTCGCGAATGTTTGAAGCCCGTGAAAGTGGAACGCACAAGTGGAATCTTGATTCTGAGGACATGTACATAACCTTCACGACTACGACAACTGCTACTACAACTAACCCATCTCTTTGGGAAGGACCTACTTCCACTGGGGAATCCCGCCTACCAGTGACTATGCCCTCGTCTGCTGCACCTGACTTTACTACATAAGCGCCAGGCTCCTTGCTACTGCTTCAGAATCTACACAACTACGGTGCTCTTTGCACCTACTCCAAGGTTGAGGGACTGATTACCTCATCTTCTGTATATAGTCCTACTGTCTTCAAGTTATGTCCTAGAATTTGTATTGATAAAGCCACTGGATGGCGAAACGTCTACAATAAAGATACCCAGATGTTGCACGTGTCTTAATTTCATCTTGTCGCTATTATATACCATTCTTGCACAACATGTATAAAAAATGTGATGCCTTATAATTAACTTCATTAATGATAACACTCCTTATTTACATTCCTTAATAATACACTGCCTGCTAAATAAAACCAGATAAAAAACAATCTTTTCAGGTCACCCTGCCTTGATGGGATACAGCTGGTTCGTTGAAGAAAAAAAAATAGAACTGTGCCATACATGGCAAAAACTTCCCTCATTAAAATATCCTAATATGTACTGTGTTATGTCTTATTTCACACATAGCTATTTTATACCACACCTCTTACACACAGTTATAAATACATTACAATACTGTAAAAAACAGAATACAGAATATCTGAAAAATCACTTGACCGGTCTACAAAGATTCAAATACAACCCTACTGTAATCTAACTACAAACATTTTCACATACTATGCAGTAATACCCACAAATCTCTAAATTAAATTTATAATGTAGATCATAATGTAAAAATCTGTTATATGTAGTTTTAAGCCAATCATCCATGAAAAAGATATTGTACATTTTACATACCACTCAAGTATTATTTACAAAACGTATCCCACGTTAATCTCACAAATTAAAATTTCATACAAACAATTCTCCATGACATTATTATTAAAGTTTTTCTATTACTGGTAGATAAGACAGGACAAGTTTGCACAAACCCATAAGAATTAATTTAATGAGAGCATTTGTACAAAGAGATATACAATAGTAATGGCCACTGTAATAAAATAATCTGCAAATGTTCTAATTAAATGTTCTATATTTACTATAATTAAGATATACACAATTAAAAAATATACAAAATTACAATGACCATTAAAATAAATTACAAATGACCACAATATTTAAATAAATTACAAATGATCATAATCCATTTGAAAATGTTTTTTAATAAACAAAATATGTATATACTGCATGTTTGGAATTACATATTTGAATCTGCAGAGGATTGAGGGGAGGAAGGGGGAGGAAAAAAAATGAGCTAATTCTTGCTTAGGTCTCTTCCTTTTAATATACTTGTATCCTTATTTCAGCTATGGTAAAGAGCCAACTCTTGCCTACTCAAATCTTTTATATAATTTTTTTTTCCATCAACTGGCCATATCCCACCAAGGCAGCACGACCCAAAAAAAAAAAAAAAAAAAGTCTCTCTTTTCAACTTTAGAAATGTGTACAGGAGAAGGGGTTACTAGCCCTTTGCTCCTAATATTTTATACAGTATTATAATATCCACCCTTGGTCTTCAGTGATAGCTAGCTTGGATTCTTCCTGGTCCCTTAGTTCTGGCATCAGTTAGGACACACTCCTTTAAACTTCTTTAATTTTAGCTTGTATTTTATGTGAGAATACATCGGGCGCTTTTTTCAAGAATCGGTTGCATGTATTAATGTGTTCTGAATGAGTGTCTAGAATCTTAGATGTCAGTTAGATCTGACTAAATCAATTAGTCTTGTTAGCTGGGCAGCGACACTGGTCCTCAAGTGAACCGATCTTCACATCCTTTGCCAAAACTTTCAGTGAATAATAGAGTTTATTGCTTTGAAATTAAACTGTCCTTCAAACAAACTAAAGTTTGAAACTCTTGGAGTAAGGTTAAACCACATTTTACAAAATTATCATTGAGACTTGTTACCTACTATCAAAACCAATAATATGCAGTAGTCATGTACATGACAGAACAGCACTACTGTCATCTTGGTTTTGATAGTGCAGACAGGAAAGACTTCAAATAAAGGCCTCAGAAACAGGCAGATAGAATGAACTAGACTTGGAAGTACTCATACAAGGACCCCAATGGAAATAAGTCACCGACTTTTTTGGATTAACCTAGGTAACCTATGTACGATAATTGTACTTGTGTGTACCTGTGCCTTGGCTCAGACCAGATCTTCTAAATTAGAGAAATATAACAGGAATAAAGTGAAAGTGTTGAATGATGATGAAAGTATTTTCTTTTTGGGGATTTCCTTTCTTTTTGGGTCACCCTGCCTCGGTGGGAGACGGCCGACTTGTAAAAAAAAAAAAAAAAGAATAAGGGCTATTAAGTGTATGCAGAAAGCATTTTCAGTTAGTAAAATCTGCCAGCAATTTCACATGTGTATGAGAAAGACCAGAAATCTCGCAAGAATTAATCAACATTTAACAGCCTTCCACTTCACACTCGTGTGACAGGATTGTTGCACATCCCTGGAAGCAAACTGCATATGGAGTTTTAAATACAGATATGGCAGGAGTAAAGCCACACACCAGTAATGCCAATGAAACTTAATGGGGTAGGAGCCAAGATTTTAACCTCTGCAGACAAATTGTGATTGCAGTACATACAAAACTGATGTATCTCACACACAATCAGCAAATGCATAACTATCCAAATTCTGATTTGTACAGTCTAATATATACATTATTCATTGAAGTAGCTTACAATAAAAAAAATTCCAACTTATGTAGTTAAAATATAAAGTAAATCTTTATGAACATTTTTGTAAATAAAATCTATTTTGACTCTGAATAAAGGATATTTGGCATTAGAACTTAAGTATCGTATATGTATTACAATAAAATGATCTTCCAAAAAACATTCATAAAATTCACTACAATAAAAGTGAAATGTACTAACTCAAAACATACCAATGTTAATGTTAAGCCAATTAATATTAGCAGGCATAGAGTTACCTAGTTAGCAGTTTGTTGAAAAAACTGTAGTAGAGAGTGATGAAAGCAGTGATATCAACTAAGTTAGGATGACAAAAGCTACCTACAAAACATGAGCATTAACATACCTCATCAAAGAAGACCTGGGTCTTCTTGAGGATGTGCTTCAACTCTGTCAGTTCGAGGTAGTTTCGCTTGAGTGCCTCAGCATTGCTGTTGACTTCCTTCAGTTCATTTTCTAGCTTTTCAAACTTTACCTGTTTAAATTACCTGCTTAAAAAGGGTCCTTGGATACTCCTTAAAACTACAGCAAAATAATTGATCTGATCATGATACAGAGTTACATTTATAAAACAAGGGGTTATACACTTAATACTAAAGTGCATGTGATTCTTTATTTTCAAACAAGGAAAAGTTTTTTGAAAAGAAACTAGATTACATGTCATAAGTGTAAGCATTCTCGCCTCCAAATTAATCACTTTTCCTAGCAAATCAAGACATATGCAGAAATAACTAGAGGCTTACCTCCAAATCAATCATTTCCCTAGGCATGGGAGCTTCAGGGTTCTCACCAGTATCAAGGACTGGAATACCATCTTTACGAATCTCACGTTCTAAGTATCGTAGTTTCCTTTCCATTTCATCGCAACGACGAACCTCATTAACAAATTTTCGTTGAAAGGCATTCACATCAGGATTAAGCTGCAAAACAAAAGATACAAACATTAAGTACAGCCAGAACTGACAGACACTGTGAAATGTAAATACTATACATACTGTACTATATGACTTAGCATATTTTGAAATTTATAAGACTTGTTTTAGTTTTAATGGTTTGGCATCAGATGTAACTGGGAGAGCTACAGCCCACTCCACACCCCAACTTATAGCTCCCATCACTGCCCTTCAGTTTATAGGACGCAGGGTGGTTTTTGGAGAGATCTTATGGGAAAAAGCATGCGTCTAATAAGCCGCGATATGTGGTAGTTAATTCTGATTACACAGCAGCTTTCACAACGTACTGATAATTATATCTATATACTATACAGCACTTCAACTTTAGGATATTTTTTTCCTCTCACTTGCTACAACACTAATTGCCTTTCCTTTTAATTTTTCTCTGAAAATTTCCTGTTTACCTCCACCCATTTTCCCACTCAGAAATGATAACTTACATTAGAACAGAGTACAGTGGTACCTCGAGTTTCGAACAGCTCCCAACTCGAACAATTATGTAAGTGTATTTTTATAAGTGCTTTTGTAAGTGTATTTTTGGGGGTCTGAAACGGACTCATCTAATTTACATTATTCCTTAAGGGAACAAATTCATTTGGTAACGGCACTCGAACAGCCTTCTGGAACAAATTAAGTTCATAACTCGAGGTACCACTGTATATACATTCAAACAATTAATTACTTTATTTAGATCATTACTGTACATATTTCAATGTATAAAGTATGTACTTATACTGCTTAAAACATATTGCAATTATGACATAATAAGTGCTAAAAAAAGTAACAGTTTATTCCCACCAGTGTCACTATACTGTGTAGTATTTTAAACATGTGTACACTACTATTATTATAATGTAATAATCCTGAATATTCTTATGGCCAGTCAAACACATACAATCTTTTGATTTGTTACAGCTTCACAAAGCTCTTGGAGAGCAAAATGTTGCCACAATAACCTGATTACTCAGATTTAAAACTAAACTATGAATTTTTTCATATAAATTGACAATAATATACAGTACAAAATGTTTTATAATAGGTATATCTACATGAAGATATCAAATGCACCATACACATTTTATTCTCTTTTGTAAAATAGAGTACAGTGGTACCTTGACTTACGAGTACCCCAACTCATGAGTTTCCCAAGTTATGAGCCATTGCTCAATTGATTTTTTGCTTTGAGTCGTGAGCCAAAATCCAAGTTACGAGCGAGCTTTAGATACAATGCCACTAGTTGGTGGAGTATCTGAAGTCAAATCCAACTCTGTACCCAGAGGAATGTCCGGTACTTCGTTTCATCCCACGTGCTCTTCCAAGACATAACTGGAAGGATAATACTCCCACACTAATCTCAGATTGTAGTGAGGCACCTCGTCCCGTTTGGTTCTCATATAAATCCGAGGAAGAGGTAACCTCCATTTCAATGCTCAGTTTTTTTCCAGAAACATTAAGGAAGGTCTCCGTGATATTTACCTACCTCACGGAGGTTTCTTCAGTGGGTGGAGTACTGATAGTGGTGAGTGGAGTAGTAATGGTGGTGGGTGGAGTAGTAATGGTGGTGGGTGGAGTAGTAATGGTGGTGAGTGGAGTAGTAATAGTGGTGGATGGAGTAGTGGAGTAGTAATACAGTGGACCCCCGCATAACGATGGCATCACATAGCGATTATTTCGCATACCGCTTACTTTAATTGCAAAAATTTTGCCTCGCATACCGCTTAAAAACCCGCTTACCGATTTTCGTCCGAGACGCTTCCAATGTGCGGCCTGAGCCACGCTCACCTGTTCCGCCGGTGGCATTGTTTACCAGCCAGCCTCCGCAATAACATCCAAGCATACAATCGGAATATTTCGTATTATTACAGTGTTTTCGGTGCTGTTTCTGGAAAATAAGTGACCATGGGCCCCAAGAAAGCTTCTAGTGCCAACCCTGTGGTAAAAAGGGTGAGAATTAGTATGGAAATTAAGAAAGATTTTGAAGGGTTTGGGGCTAACCCTGAGAAGCCTATGCCAGTTGTGGAATCCATTGTGCCTACTTCAAAAATTAAGGAAATGTGTGCACAGTGGGTTGAACTGCAAACCTTTATGGATGAAAATCACCCTGACACAGCTGTTGCAAGCCGTGCTGGTGACTATTTCAATGACAATGTTGTGGCCCATTTTAGACAAATCGTAAAGGAACGGGAGGTACAGAGCTCTATGGACAGATTTGTTGTGCGACAGAGGTCCAGTGACTCTCAAGCTGGTCCTAGTGGCATTAAAAGAAGAAGGGAAGTAACCCCGGAAAAGGACTTGCTACCTCAAGTCCTAATGGAAGGGGATTCCCCTTCTAAACAGTAAGAAGATAATGCTCTCCCCTCCTCCCATCCCATCAATCATCACCAGATCTTCAATAAAAGTAAGTGTCATGTAAGTGTGCATGCCTTTTTCAGTTTGTGTGTATTAAAATTAACATTTCATGTGGTAAAAATTTTTTTTTTTCATACTTTTGGGTGTCTTGCACGGATTAATTTTATTTCCATTATTTCTTATGGGGAAAATTCATTCACATAACGATTATTTCGCATAACGATTACCCCTCTTGCACGGATTAAAATCGTTAACCGGGGGTCCACTGTAGTGGTGGATGGAGTAGTGAAGAGTGGAGCAAGTAAGTTAAGCAATTAAGCCTATCTCTGCCTATCTTGGGGTGGTTTTTCGGGGGCTGAAATGGATTAATAGCATTTCAATTAATTTCAATGAGGAAAATTGACTTGATATATGAGCAAATTGAGTTACGAGCTTGGTCACGGAACGAATTAAACTCACAAGTCAAGGTACCACTGTACTTAAATACACTCTGCAATTTCACCTCTGCCTGACTTACATCTCTGAACTGTACCAATCCCAGTTCACCTAATTCGGACACACATGTATAGGCAGATTCACTTTGAAGGAAGAGCTGGCAGAGTGCCATCTCTTCGCTGCGAAACAAGGAACCCATTGTTGTCCAATTTTGACAGCAACAGCCACCAGCTCAATACAGTATAGGATCTGAAAATAAAAGTTTAACCATTTAACACAAATTTAACCCATTACATAATACATATTCATACATCAGTTGTACACTACAGTAATATGATGACAGGTGAATACAAAGTGGCAAGTGAAAGTGTAATATATACAGTACAGCCTACTCTTAAATTCAAGTGTGCGAAGACCTCGAAATTACCATTCATTCATTATTGCTAGATGTTACTACAGAAATTTAAGAGTACAGATGTCCCTTGTTTAATGCTATAAAAGTGTTACAGACCCTTGGTATCTGTACTAAGCTCAATCAGGCCACAAACAATTATGCATAGTAAAATTCTTAATACGCTTTGGGAGCCATGCCACTCATATAAGGCGATAAAAATAGGACATTGCACAAAGCAAATCCACAGTGTGTGACTTGTATATATTTTTGGGTGTTGGGTTTGATTAATATATAATTAATGTATAATTATCTGCGGTACGGCTGAAAAACATTAGCGACGTGTTTCCATAAGACACTTGCTGTCAGTGTGGGTCGCATCCTGGGTGCTAGTGGACCAGTGTGGGTTGCATCCTGGGTGTTAGTGGACTGGTGTGGGTTGCATCCTGGGTGTTAGTGGACTGGTGTGGGTTGCATCCTAGGGACAAAACTGACCTAATTTGCGGGCAATGTTCCGCATAACAAGGGGGTTTCTATATAGTAGTATGTCATTGATGTCAACTATGGTCTGTATAAGTTGTATCATGTACTTCTAGAAATAAAGATATTATTATTAAAGGACCCCAATGGAAATAAGTCACTGACTTTTTTTTGTGTTATCCCAGGTTCTCTACACATATATTGCTATGTATGATAATCTATGTATTTATGTATACCTGAATAAAGTTAATAACCTCAAACTCCTCCTCACTTTACATTGTTCGTCTTTAATTAGACTCAAAGTCACTGGCTGCCGTAAAGTTTTCTCAAATTCCAAAATGTTGCAAAATCGTCTCATTCTTCAACTTATGGGATTTTCCATAACATTTGTGAGTACCATGGCACTGTGGCACTCTCCAGGGCCACAGTCTGGTAAATCACAGATCCCCGATGGAAATCAAGGACACCCAATGGAAATCAAGGACCCTAATTGAAAAAAGTCACTTTGACTGACCTTTTGAGTTATCGTAGGTAATTTTTCACTGTATATAATTAAAATTAAATGTACCAGTCAATATACTCACTCTAGTGCCACTCCATGACCCAGCTAAATTTAAAACCATATATTCAATATTTCACACGTTATAAGCCACTTTACACCCATTATCCCCCACCAGGGAAAAAGTATATACATTTACCTTTCAGAAGAGAGCCACCAGAGGGTACATAACGCCCAATATTCACCAAAAATGGAATAAATGTGAGAGTAAGTCCATGGTTGTATCAGACAATCAATGTGAGTGGAAGTGACGTCACCTCCACGCAGGCGCCACTACATCATTTGTTTATATTTCACTTATTTAACAATATTCACCTCATATATTGACCTTATATCGTCAGTGATGGGACGGTTAATGTGGCTGGCTATGTGAAGTTTATGTTAATATGTCTGAGAGAAAGTTAATTGATGAAAATGTAAAGGCATGCTCTCTCTCTCTCTCTCTCTCTCTCTCTCTCTCTCTCTCTCTCTCTCTCTCTCTCTCTCTCTCTCTCTCTCTCTCTCTCTCTCTCTCTCTCTCTCTCTCTCTCTCTCTCTCTCTCTCTCTCTCAGTTGACTTAAAAAAATAATGTTCTCATAATATTAAATACAGTCAGCTCTATTATAAAGCTCCTCTGTACAGTCAGCTCTGTTATAAAGCTCCTCTGTACAGTCAGTTCTATTATAAAGCTCCTTTGTACAATCAGCTCTATTACAAAGCTCTTCTGTACAATGAGCTCTATTATAAAGCTCCTCTGTACAATCAGCTCTATTATAAAGCTCCTCTGTACAATCAGCTCTATTACAAAGCTCTTCTGTACAATGAGCTCTATTATAAAGCTCCTCTGTACAATCAGCTCTATTACAAAGCTCCTCTGTACAATCAGCTCTATTATAAAGCTCCTCTGTACAGTCACCTGTATTATAAAGCTCCTCTGTACAGTCAGTTCTAGAATGCAGTTAGAATGATAACAAATTCTCACTACAGGCAGCACACTCCACCAATATTCAATACACTCAACCTACTCACCATACAAAACATCCATACTTATTACTGCACCTATTACATACATAGAACACTCAACTCTGATATTAACCCTCCCCTCAAACATCTCCTTGCCAACCTCAACAGAACACATGACCATAACACAAGGCACAGATCACTCTTTGATATTCCTCGTGTCCATCTCACGCTATGCAAAAACTCAATGCACATAAAAGGCCCTAAAATCTGGAATTCATTACCTGTTAATATAAAAGAAACACTACCTGTTTATAAATTCAAGTCTCTTCTCAAAGATCACTTACTCACCCAAAACCAAATAAATACTGAATAACTGAACCTTATAAATTGTATATCTTAAATGTTTCTCACAATTATATCACATAAATGTTAAACCTAAAACCCAATCTAACTTTATTATTTTTTAAATTCACTACCTAACAGAATACTCCATTCTACTGAATTTACAACAATGCATGCAACCATATGACCTGTCTTTGTAATACTCACTTGTGCTTTATAGTAATCAGTTTACATTAATGTTTTTCACTGATTTCATCATTGCTTAGTTAATCTTAAGTTAATTTTAAGCCAGCCCGTAATGCTATGCATAGTATAAGTGGCTTTGGCATGCTGCTCTTATCTGTATTTTTTTTTTTGTACCTCTGTAAGTGTGCTCAAATTATAAATAAATAAATAAATAAATAAATAAAGCTCCTCTGTACAGTCACTTCTATTATAAAGCTCCTCTGTACAATCAGCTCTATTATAAAGCTCCTCTGTATAATCAGCTCTATTATAAAGCTCCTCTGTATAATCAGCTCTATTATAAAGCTCCTCTGTATAATCAGCTCTATTATAAAGCTCCTCTATAGAGTGCAATCTTTCATAAATACAGTGGATAAAGTACATAGAAATGTGACGGATTATCTCCATAACTTATTGCAGACTTTAAATAATAAGACAAACATCCGTGTGGAAGTAAGTCACTCTGACTTTTTTGGTGGGATTGAGAGTTAAGATGTTATTAAACTGTGTATGATAATTGTACTTATGTGTACTTGTGCCTAAATAAACTCTCTCTCTCAGTTAACTTATTTAAAGTTAAAAGTAATTTTTACTCATAATATTAAATACAGTCAGGTTTCTTATAAAACTCCTGTATATAGAGAAATTTTGCTTTGATGCAGTGGATAAAGTACATTGAAATCTGACTGATTCCTACTGGAGTTTACCTGGAGAGAGTTCCGGGGGTCAACGCCCCCGCGGCCCGGTCTGTGTCCAGGCCTCCTGGTGGATCAGAGCCTGATCAACCAGGCTTTCGTAGTGAGTGATTTTCGTGTGCAAGTTCGGTACTAGTCTCCCCTCTAGGGGGGATGTTGCAGAGGTGTAAGTTTTGCTCACACCTCTGCAACACAATTGTCCTCAAATATTTGTTAAGTTATACCATGAATTAAGGAAAGATTCTGGACTTGACCTTAGGAAAGCAGACAAAGCAAATGTGATAGTAATTATGAACAAGGTAGATTATAGTGGAAAAATGAACATGGCGAGGGTCCAGGTTCAATTCCCAGGGAGGGTGAAAACATTGGACGTGTATCTTTACACCGGCTGTCTACATTCACCCATCAGTAAAATGGGTACCTGGGTGTTAGTGGACTGGTGTGGGTCGCATCCTGGGACAAAACTGACCTAATTTGCGGGAAATGTTCAGCACAACAAGTGGCTTTCTTTATAGTAGTATGTCAGTGATGTCAGCTATGGTCTGTATACCTTGTACTTGTACATGTAGAAATAAAGATAGTAGTAGTAGTAGTAGTAGTAGTAGTAGTAGTAGTAGTAGTAGTAGTAGTAGTAGTAGGTAGTGGTAGTAGTAGTAGTAGTAGTAGTAGTAGTAGTTAGTAGTAGTAGTAGTAGTAGTAGTAGTAGTAGTAGTAGTAGTAGTAGTAGTAGTAGTATATAGTAGTAGAAGTAGTAGTTAGTAGTATGTAGTAAATATGTAGTAGTAAGTAGTAGTAGTAGTAGAGTGTAGTAGTAGTAGTAGTATTAGTAGTAGTAGTAGTAGTAGTAGTAGTAGGGAGTAGTAGTAGTAGTAGTAGTTAGTAGTAGTAGTAGTAGTAGTATAGTAGTAGTAGTAGTAGTAGTAGTAGTATAGTTAGTAGTAGTAGTATAGTAGTAGTAGTAGTAGTAGTAGTAGTAGTAGTAGTAGTAGTAGTAGTAGTAGATAGTAGTAGTAGTAGTAGTAGTAGTAGTAGATAGTAGTAGTAGTAGTAGTAGTAGTAGTAGTAGTAGTAGTAGTAGTTAGTAGTAGTAGTAAGTAGTAGTAGTTAAGTAGAGTAGTAGTAGTAGTAAGTAAGTTGTAGTGTATTGTAGTGTAGTGGATAGTAGTAGTAGTAGTGTAGATAAGTAGTGTAGTAGTATATTAACCGTCGTGTTTTTTAAAAGAGAAGAGCACCCTGGTAGGGTTCCATTCAGTAAAACATAACAAATGGCCGTTTATATTTTTTCTTCGTGTCTGTATATGGTTGTCCCTTTAACGCAATCGCCAGTGTGTATAAAATCATAAATAGGTTGTAGTAAAACGTTCAGACCCGCTTAAGAAGGTTTCTCCTAAGTCTGTACGTCCCCATGTCAACCTACAGCCTGTGTGTGCGTCCCCATGTCAACCAACAGCCTGTGTGTGCGTCCCCATGTCAACCTACAGCCTGTGTGTGCGTCCCCATGTCAACCTACAGCCTGTGTGTGCGTCCCCATGTCAACCTACAGCCTGTGTGTGCGTCTCCATGTCAACCTACAGCCTGTGTGTGCGTCCCCATGTCAACCTACAGCCTGTGTGTGCGTCCCCATGTCAACCTACAGCCTGTGTGTACGTCCCCATGTCAACCTACAGTCTGTGTGTACATCCCCATGTCAACCTACAGCCTGTGTGTACGTCCCCATGTCAACCTACAGCCTGTGTATGTCCCCATGTCAACCTACAGCCTGTGTGTACGTCCCCATGTCAACCTACAGCCTGTGTTCGTCCCCATGCCAGCCTACAGCCTGTGTACGTCCCCATATCAACCTACAGCCTGTGTATGTCCCCATATTAACCTACAGCCTGTGTACGTCCCCATGTCAACCTACAGCCTGTGTACGTCCCCATGTCAACCTACAGCCTGTGTACGTCCCCATGTCAACCTACAGCCTGTGTATACATTCCCATGTCAACCTACAGCCTGTGTGTAGCCCCCAAGTCAGTCTACAGCCTGTGTGTAGCCCCCACGTCAGCCTACAACCCGTGTGTAGCCCCCAAGTCTGTCTACAGCCTGTGTGTAGCCCCCACATCAGTCTACAGCCTGTGTGTAGCCCCCAAGTCAGTCTACAGCCTGTGTGTAGTCCCCACGTCAGTCTACAGCCTGTGTGTAGCCCCTAAGTCAGTCTACAGCCTGTGTGTAGCCCCCACGTCAGCCTACAGCCTATGTGTAGCCCCCAAGTCAGTCTACAGCCTGTGTGTAGCCCCCACGTCAGCCTACAGCCTGTGTGTAGCCCCCAAGTTAGTCTACAGCCTGTGTGTAGCCCCACGTCAGCCTGTGTGTAGCCCCCACGTCAGCCTGTGTGTAGCCCCCACGTCAGCCTGTGTAGCCCCACGTCAGCCTGTGTGTAGCTCCGTCAACCTGTGTAGCCCCCACGTCAGCCTGTGTGTAGCCCCCACGTCAGCCTGTGTGTAGCCCCCACGTCAGCCTGTGTGTAGCCCCACGTCAGCCTGTGTGTAGTCCCACGTCAGCCTGTGTGTAGCCCCCACGTCAGCCTGTGTGTAGCCCCCACGTCAGCCTGTGTGTAGCCCCCACGTCAGCCTGTGTGTAGCCCCACGTCAGCCTGTGTGTAGCTCCGTCAGCCTGTGTAGCCCCCACGTCAGCCTGTGTGTAGCCCCCACGTCAGCCTGTGTGTAGCCCCCACGTCAGCCTGTGTGTAGCCCCACGTCAGCCTGTGTGTAGTCCCACGTCAGCCTGTGTGTAGCCCCCACGTCAGCCTGTGTGTAGCCCCCACGTCAGCCTGTGTGTAGCCCCCACGTCAGCCTGTGTGTAGCCCCACGTCAGCCTGTGTGTAGCTCCACGTCAGCCTGTGTGTAGCCCCCACGTCAGCCTGTGTGTAGCCCCCACGTCAGCCTGTGTGTAGCCCCACGTCAGCCTGTGTGTAGCCCCACGTCAGCCTGTGTGTAGCCCCACGTCAGCCTGTGTGTAGCCCCCACGTCAGCCTGTGTGTAGCCCCCACGTCAGCCTGTGTGTAGCCCCACGTTAGCCTGTGTGTAGCCCCCACGTCAGCCTGTGTGT